ACAGCCTCTAACCCAGCTCTGGGAGTGGGGGAAGCCCCGCAATTATGTGGAGGGTGGGGGGGGGGGAGCTTCCTCCCACGCTGTCGGCCTCCACTCCAAATTTAAGTACCCCTCTCCCAACCTCAACCCGCCTCATCGGGGCAGGGGAGCTCAGCAAAACTTCTGCTCAGGCAAGTTCACCCCAAAAACCTCACCTGAAAAGCTGAACGTGGAGTCCACCTGTGGCTGCAATCGGGGAGTGTGTTATTTCGGGGGGGGTGGGCGATGTGTGTGCAACCCACAAGCATTTACTGACCGCCTACTGCATCCCGGGCTCCACTGGGCATGACAAGGTGGAATAAACCGGCCTCTGTCCCTCAAGGAGCTCCCTGCCTGAAGGGGAGGGCAGGTGAGGAAGTAATTATAACAGTGTGAGAGCTGAGGTTTGTTCCAGGGTGAAACAATTTGGCCTGGGGGAGCCCAGCGGCTTTTCAGAAGTAACTTTTGATTGGGAAGGTAACAGCTAAGATTCAGTGCACGCCCACTGTGTGCCAGATAGCGTGCTAAGAACTTTACAGATGTATTCTCAACTAATCCCGCCACAGTACCAGAGGGAGGAAGCCATTATTATTGTGCCCATTTTACAGATAAGGCAGCTGAGGGTATAAGGCTTGGCTAAGGCCAGGCGGTCGGTTAAGCGGCAGAATCCAGGTCTGCTGGACCCTCCAGCCATTCGGTTATTTGCCCAAATCTGTCTCAGTGCCTGTAGACCAGGCACTCCCCTACACTTGGGGCTCCAGTGTTCCTTCTCCCGCGTTGCTCCAAAGTAAGTCTTAAAGAAGGAGTAGGGATCCTGGAGGTGGAAAGAGCACCAGGAACACAGCGGCTGGGGTGGGGGTAGGGGTACAGCTTGGACAAAGGCACGCAGGCTTGAAAACACATGGTGTATTCAGGAAAGAGCAGGGAGACGGGGCTCTGCGGTGAGATGGACACATTTAATTTTTTCGTTCTACCTCTGCCGTGTCCTAGCTGTGTCACTTTAGACAAGTCAGTTCTCTCTGAGCCTCAGTCTTCACCTGCAAAACTGGCCACGATATTACCTTTTCCTTCCTGGGCTGCTGGGAGGATTAATGAGTTCTCCTAGGTGCAGGTGGCTTGGCACATAGTAGGCCCTCAAGAAATATGAATCAAAACAAATGGAGGGAACTGATTTAGAATGTCACCATCGGGGCACCCGGCTGGCTCGGTCGGTGGAGCATGCGACTCTTGATCTCAGGGTTGTGAGTTCAAGCCCCACCTTGGGTGTAGAGATCAGTTAAAAATAAGATATTAAAAAAAAAAAAAAAAGTGAATGTCATCATCACATGTGAGCATCTATTGAGTGATTCCTGGTGCAGAGCACTGTTCTAGCTGGTTCCAGGAGGGCAAAGGGCAGCAGGCTCCTTCCTTGCCTTGGAGAGCTTACAGTCTGGTTGGGGAGACGGTTCTGAGTCTGAGAAAAGACAACAGAAGGTTCAACTGGCTGAGGCCAGGGTCCGGGGCGGGGGTGGGGGGGTGACTGGGTATGGGGGCGCCAGGGGCTGAAGGGAAGGCCGTCAGTCATCAGACGGGCCTTGGAGACGCCTGCAGCAGAGAGCAGGTACGTCACCCCAGGCCAGGGAACAGCTCTGGGGGTTCTCTGGAGTTTAGTGCTTCCAGAAGCAGGGGCTGAGGGAGGTACCTGTGAGGGTGTGTAGATCCAGACTGCCTGGGCTAGAATGCCAGCTCCAACTTTTAAAGTTTGTTCCTCTGCAAAATGGGGACAGTAACAGTGCCTACCTTGTGGGGCTATAACGAAAACTAAGGGGGTCAGTGTGGGTCAAGTACCTAGAACTGGGCCTGGCACTTAAGCATTTTATTAAAAAAATTTTTAAATATTTTTTATGTTTTAAAAATGTTTACTTTTGAGAGACAGAGAGAGAGAGAGAGAGAGAGAGAGAGAGAGAGAGCATGCACACGCAAGCAGGGGAGAGGGGCAGAAGGAGAGAGAGAGAGAATCCCAAGCAGCCTCCGTGCTGTCAGTGGAGAGACCGATGCAGGACTCGATCCCACGACCCTGGGATCATGATCTGAGTTGAAACCAAGAGTCAGAAGCTCAAGCCACCCAGGAGTCCCTAAGCACTTGAGAAGAAGCGTGGGCTACAATGATTTTTTTCTCCTGCTGCTCTCAGGCACAGATCAAAGGTGGGGTGGGTGAAGCTATTGTCTCGTGTTTCTCTTTCTCGTCAGCTTGTCCCCAGCCTACAGCCAAGTCCTAGCAAAGGTGGACACCTGAGCAGGCTGCTGGGCTTGAGGTGGGGATGGCAGGTGAGGCCCGCGCAGCCACCCACAGACACACTCAGGCTCAACCTGCCTGTACCCGAAACCTTGCCTACTGCAGTGGCACTCAGGCCCCGCGGGCTTTTTGGGGCCTTTATGGGGTAATTCTATCTCCATTAGGGCTTATTATGTCACAATAAATACCACTTTTCAGCGCAGCTTTGTAAGACCTTTGTAAGACTCACCAAAGGACTTTTCCTTCTCAGCATCCAGTCACGCTGAGCGGGAAGGACTCCGGGAAGGGCGTGTCGCCAGGTGAGTGACTAAAAACCAAGAAGCTTCTCCCACCCCCACCCTCCTGCCAGCGCCCTCACCACCCCTTCCCACAGGCCTCTGTGGGAGCGACACCTGTCCCTGCACTCTCAGTCACCAGCTGGGCCCATACCTCCAGGCACGCAGCCCACAGCCAGCAGGGGCTGCCCTCACCCCTGACACGTGGGGCCACCCTCGTGGGGCCACGCGGGGAAACCTACACATGCCACATAAAGGACCCGCCAACACGATGTAAAGAGACTTCCAGGCACCACACAACCTACCAATGCCTTCGTTCGCTCATCAGTCCATTCACGGGCAGAGGTGTGCTGAACCCCCGCTATGGGTCAGGTATAAAGACAAATGTCCCCGCACTCTCGGAGCATACCTTCTAGTGTCGCATCCAGCATACGGAGCCTGCACGGCACGTGACATACCTGTACAGGGAGGGTCTTACATTCAACACACATGAAATCTTACATTCACCACAGCCCAGAGCTGCCAACGCAACACGTGAAAGGCTTCTCCCTACGTTTACTGCACACACACGCACACTCACACACACTTTCTCTCCATGTGCCATGGAGGCCCCACAGGCCCCGCCCGGCACACACACTGCTTCCTCTGGCCGCACTGCATAGACCCGTAGCAACAGCTGGGATTTCACAAACGTGTTCTGTACCCACGATCTATGTGGTTTACACCCACATCCTTACTCGATCTCAGTAACCCTCTGAAGGAGGTTCGTACATCTTCCCGAGGAGCAGACTGAGGCTCGGAGAAAGGAAATCTCCAGAAACCCCTGGGCTGACTCCACGGCCGGTGTTCTCAATCCTTGCCAAGGACAGCACACTCACACTCACACACTCGCACGCCTCCTCTTACATCCGCCCGTGCTTGCTCACACCCATGCTCACACCCCCCCCCAGCACGTCCACACGCACTCGTGCACACCCTGACACAGCCACGTGCACGCACTCATGCACATCCACACATCCGCACGCACGCACATACTCTCATGCACGCTTGCACGCTCACAGACTCTCAGAACACCAAGACTCTCCTCCTATCATCTTGGTCAAAGGCTTTAATTACGCTACTCCAACACCTGTAATTAACCCTCCTCCTTCTCCAGAGGAGGTGTCTGGACCCGCTTCCCAAGGGCAGGCACCAAGGCCGAGAGGCCAAGATGTCCACATCTGGCAGGGAGGATCCGGGTACCTGAGTAGCCCAGCATGGCCTTTGGGCAGACAGGTCCAGGGGAGTCAGAGTCTAGAGTGGGGTCAAAGAGAAGGAGGTGGGCACAGGGGCCTGGAGCCCCTCAGGGAATCATGCCCGCTACTGGTGTTCCTCCCCAACTGGCCAAATGGCGATTGGGCAAGAGGCAGCCGTGGGTGGCCCGGCAGGCGGGTCAGAGGACATTTCCCGTTTGTTTCACTAAGGCCAGCCGCTTTAGTCAGAAGCGGAGATGAGCTCACATCTGAGGAGCCTCTGGGTTCCCTGAAGGGGCAGGTGGGAGGCAGGTGCCCTCCAAAGTGTTGCAACAGACCAACTGATTCAGCCACGCCAGGGTTGGGGGATGGGGCGCTCCACAGAGCAGCCTCTTGCCTGCCTGTCCCCTGCATGGGGAGGGACTAGGGAGATTCAAATCCTGGCTCTACTACCTTGGAGCTGTGAGACCTTTGGGCATGTGTGTAAAGCTCTTGGAGCCTCAGTGTCCTCTTCTGTAAAATGGGGTTAATGATACCTACCTCCCAGATGAGAGTTACACGAGACAATGCATGTCTGACTCGTGCCTAGAGGTGGTGGCTCTTACATTAGGGTATTCTTAAAGGCCCCTGAGCAGAGATGCTCTCCTCGACCTCCTTCGAGAGGTCCCAGGAAGAGGGGCATCCAGGTCGACTTCCGAGCTCCCCTCAGAGGCATGCTGCAGAGGAGGCAACTGCTTCTTGGCCCCGCTAGCCCATTTGTGCCCCATCGGAAGGGCAAAGAGTGAGAATGCGCGTGCTTTAGGGCCAGCGGTCCCCACGTCTGGGGTCTGGGCCGAGGATCCCGGCCCGGATCTGCAACTTGGGAGGGCCTGGGCGAGAGGGGGGGGGGGGGGGGAGGAGGGCTTCAGGGAGGCCAGAGGGCCCCAAGGTCCTCCCCAAACCCCTTGGGACTCCCCTCCCTTCTTCCCCGGTGCCAGCCCGGCCCCTTTAAAGACATTCCTGAGGGCGTGGCTTCGGTGACGTCACGCGGGGCATGAATGAACAGGAGCCGGTTCTCACCCAACTTCCATTAAGGACTGGGGCTGGAGGCGAGAAGTTGCGCGCGGGCCGCGGGAGCGAGCAGACGGCGAGGCGGGCGTGCGGGCGTGCGGGCGTGCGGGAGCCGGGCGCGGAGGACCGGGCCGGGGGCGAGGAGGCGGCATGGAGCGTCTGGCGCCCCGTGCCTGCCTGGCCCTGCTGTGGGCTTGTGTGCTGGCCGCGGCCGCCGCGGCGCAGGGCAAAGAAGGTGAGTGTGCGCGCGGGGCCGCCCGGGTCCGCAGCAGCCCGGGCGGCCCGACCCCGGGAGCCCGAGCCTCCCGGAGCCCCGCGGGGTGACGCGCGCAACTTTGGAAACCGACCTGGCGCCTCCCAGCCCCGGCGTGCCGGGGTCGGGAGGGCGCGCGCTGCCTTCGCGACGAATCTGGGACCCCAGCCCGGGTTACGGGGCTTCCGGGGACTGTGGGGTTGCGGCCGGGCGCGCGGGGCTCCGAGGCCGCCGAGAAGGGGCCGCGGTGCCGGCCACGCGGTCGCAGCCCGGGCGGCGCCTTCAGGAACGCGTCCCGACGGGGGCGCGAGGGTCCCCTTGGAGAATGGGGTGTCTGAGAGGGTTTCCGCGGGCTCAGTCTCTTGGTGACCTGTCCTCACTCACCCGCTGGGTCCGATTTTGCCGAGAAGCATTCCTGTGGAGGCCCCTCGTTTTGGGGAGGGGGCTCTTTGGCCGGCTAGGAGCCCCCTGCGGAAGCCCCTGCTCCCTGAGGGCTTCTCCACGCCCCCTTTTGCCTCCAGGCGGGCAGGAGAGTGCAGGGGGAGTTTCGGGCCAACCTGCCCACGCAGAACCACCCTGTCTTCCCAACCGGCGTTCCCAGGCTCGGGGGTCAGGTTCGGGGCCACGAGTGCGGACAGGAAGTCCCAAAGTCAAGCGTTCTGAGCTAGGGGTGACTCAGAACGAGGAAATGCGGCAGGTGGGGGCGCGGTCTCTCGAGGTGTGGAGCCGTCACCCCAGGGCCACCGGGGAGTCCGGGCATCCGGGGGTGGGGGACTGAATCACCCACCCCCGCCCCAGCGCTCCCTGAGCGGCGCCGGGTGAGGGGCCCGCAGACTTTGCCCTGGGCGGGGCAGGTGTGTGGATGGGGGCGTTGCCCCTCAGCTAGGGTCGCAGAGAGGATGGGGACTCCCGTCCTTGGCCCAGGACCTTCCTGTCCACCCAGCCGAGGCCGGCTTCGGTTTTCGACAGTGAGAACACGTTTTTCCCCCGTCGGCCTGGGCAGAGCGAGGCTTCCGCAGGCTCCAGCAGGGGGAAGTGTAGAGGAAACCCCAGGCCTCTGAGAAGGTTCCCTGAGCCTTGCTTTCTTTTTCTGTCTCCCAGACTGGGGTTGGAGGCTTTGCTTTTCCAAGTTGGGAGGAAAAGAGGCCAGAGCTGGAGCTGGTGGAGGTGGAGTGGGGCAGGGGGTGCATCCTTTCCCAGTTCTTGGATGGGTCCGGGCTCCTGGTCCCAACTTGCAGGAGTGGGTGGCAGGGATTTCTGTGACCCCCAATACTCACCACCCCACCATCACCCTCCAGCTTTTGGTCCTCCCCCTTCTTGGGGAACTGTGCTTGGAGAGAAGGGGAGAGACAGCTGGAATCCCTATAGGCTTTTCTGGAAGGCTGTCCTGGGGGCGAGGGGATTAGGCAGAACCGACACTACCCCGAGCTGCCAAGCTGTGCCTGGAGTCCTTGGGCCCCATATTGCCCCCTCCCCAGCCTAGATGACTAGCCACCCACCCCCTCCATGGGACTGACGAGGAAAAGGGTGTGGGCTGGAGGGTCCTGGGATGGGGGAGCATTTTTGCTTAGGCTCCAACAGCCCCTGTGGATGACTCCCTAGGTGTGCCCACGGTGGTGGTGGTGGAGGCAGGCAGTGGTGATGGCCCAGCTGGCAGTTGCTAGTGGGTTTTGTTCTTTGGTTTTCAGGCTGAATGGGGTGGATCTGCCTGGGGCAGATGGGACTGGGGTGGGCAGAGAGAAAGACCACATGCCCCTTCCACCCTTAATCTAGAAGACCGCTGCTCACATCCCTTCTCCTTTCTCGCCCCCTCCTTGTGGGCAGAGGAGCCGGGATGTATTGGGAGTCCCAGATGGAACCTGTTAGATTCTCAGCAGCCACTGAATCTGTCCTCCTTTTGCAAATGGGGAAACTGAGGGAGGCCCAAGCTGAGCCCTTGCCAGCCAGGGCCCACTGCACAGAGAGGGTCACATCTGAGCATCTGGCTTTTTGAGCTGCTAGAGCCCAGGGCCCCTTGTGTTGTGGTTTCATGGCCGATTTTCTGAGGAAGCAGAGTCTCTGGGCACAGATGCCGTGGTGCCGATGAGGTGGCTGATGGGAAGGGGGCTGGAGAGTGCCCAGGGGCCCTGGAAAGTCCTTGGCTTGCTTCTGTAATAGCCCAGCTTGCCCTCTGTCCTCTGCCCTTGTTTCTTTTTTCCCCACAGAGGCCCTTCCCTCCCCCTTTTCTTTAGGAAGTAGCTAGTTTTGGTGAAAGAGGGATGCAGGGAGCAGGGGGGTACCTCCAGGTAGTGCTGTGTTTGAGTAAAGAAAGCAATATGGACCCCTAAGGATGACGTCTGTCGTGGAACTGGAGGCAGAGAAGGGGTGGGGTGAGGGACTGAGGGCTCATGGATGGGCCCTGCCTAACCAGGGCCTCTCAGTGAAGGCTCCAGGGGCGGCCAAAAGGCTCCCAGGCCCCCACCCCTTCCAGGGAACCAGAGCCCTCAGTCCCTGGAAGAGCTTAGGGAGAGAGAGAGAGAGCCGCACCCTGGCTCCTGTTCCTGTTCCTGGTGATCGGTTCTAGGGAATTTCCTGGGAGGGGGCTATGGCTGGAAGCCCCCAGGGGAGGCCTCCTTCCTGTGTGAAGGCTTCTTTTCTTCTCAGATTGAGCCCCGTGATACTTCCAGAGCCAGGCCTGGGGCTGGAAGGGGAGTGCACTCTGGGAGGGGTGGCGGGGTTCCCTCTGTGCCAGGTTAACCCTTCAGAGCCTGAGAGCTGTGAGCCCCCTCCCTCGGGGGCATGGACTGCAGCTTCCTACCTGTCTGAGGAGGAGGGGATGTGCAGAACTAGGCAGAGGGGCACTCACTGGGGTCCTCCTACCCACCCAGCTGGAGCCAGGAACCCCCAGATCCCTTCCTTTGTAGCCAGAACATTCCATCTGCCAGTGGGGTTAGTGAGTTTTCCAAGGCTGGGCCCTGGGCATGTCCGAACAAATCCGTGCCCCTACCCCACCCCCTCCAGCCACCCTCCTCTATCCCCATAGCCTTGGGACAGGTGCCACATCGGATTTCCTCTTGCCGGTCTGGGCTGCCGGGCCCTTCCTAGAGAGATTTGGCCCGGGTCAGCGGCGGGTGGTGGTGCCTCCCACCAGGGGAGCAAGGCATTCAGACCCCAGGAGAGGATTTCCAAGACCGTCTCTGTCCCCCTCACTCTGTACCCATCCGTGAATCAGGCCATGTCTGTCCCCCGCCTGCCCGGGCTCCACCCTTAGAGTGATTCTTCCAAGTCCTAGTGTTGAGGAATGCTGCCTCTTGAGGCCATATTCTTCATGCTTCAGGGTCCGGAGGAAGTGTGCTCAGTCCCTTCCCCCTTCCACCTGAGGATTCTTACCCTCTGAATCCGGGGACTTTGCATAGGGCTCCATGCCTGAGTTTCCCCAGCGTCCCTGCCCTCTAGGGAGGGTGGCACCGCCTGGAAGCTACCTGGACTTTACTTGGAAATGAAGGTGGGACCGTGCTGGGGTCTTGGGTCATGGCTGCAGCCACTGAGCCTGGCAGAGAGCCAGAGGTGGACTGACAGGTGCTGCCCAAGGGCAGGGCCAGACCTAGGGAAGCCCCTGGCAGTGTGTCCCTCCCCCGGGCTCCAGATGGCTCTCTAGGGACAGCATGGTCCTGGCATCTGATCCCTCTTGGGCCTGGAAGTCCCCTCTAAAGGTTTCCATCTCTGTTCCACCAAGCACCCCTGGTAGGGCAGTAGCCAGGGGTCAGAAAGACATGGCAGGCGGACCACTTTCCCAGGGAGGGGACCTTGCCAGCTGTGTGTATCTTGGGCCTCTCCTAGAGGCCCCTATGGGTTCAGAGCTTTATCCTGCCTGCTCTGTGGCTTTTGTGGTGGGGAGATCAGTTTCCAGACACCCCCGCCATCAGTCCCCCCCTCTCCTCCCTGGAGCTGTTCCCACCTGTTAACAGCCCTCCCTTCTTGGAGTGCCAGGAGACGTGTGTGTACATATGTGTGCTGCGTATGTGTGCGATGTGGCCTGGGTGGGGTTGGGGATGTTTTGTGCCGGGGGTGGGGGGGGGATGTGGCAGGAGCAGACATGGGCGCCCCCCAGGCC